CCTCTGGTCTAATTTTAGTTAATGCCTACTACCACAGTAAGAAAAAAATGATATGGTCACAGTTTACTTATCTCCTACTATTTCTAAATTTGTGAGAGTTCTATGTGTTTTTCCTGGAGCAAACTATCCTAAAAAAGGAATGGAATTTCAATGCATTCTTAGGAGTACAGACTAAAGGATTACTTTCTATAAATTTGTAGATTCTTATAAACTGATTTCCTATCCCCCAAAACAAGTTAATAACAAGAACTGAAATTGTCTTGTTTTATAATGTTTTATGCTACCTACAAATGTTCTGTTTCCTCTAACATTTTCTGTAAGGTTTAAGTCCAGATACATATTTTATATTTTTCTTAAATAATTATTTTTGAGAAAATAACATATTTTAATGAGAATCTTTTCCCTAGATTTTAAATCATACTTTTTTTACCTCCAAACTCTGTGCGTCTGTTGACGCCTTGTCAAAGTTGGCCTCCTTTAAAGATGACTCTAATGCTTCATACTGAATGAAACAAGAAAACACATGAGTAAAAACTACAAATTTTGTCTCAAATTGTATCTAAAGAGATACCAAAGCAGCAAACAGAATCTATCTCCACATAGGTAAAATTCCCTTGGATTTTCTGAGCTTAATTTTGCAATATAACCACTGTGCTGAGCACAAACACCGCAACCACGAGCCGGGGCAACATATGGCAGAACGTTATTTACCCTTGTCACTAGCAAAGTTGTTCCAAGTCTGCTGGAGATGAAAACTCTAACAGCAAGAGTGACTTAAGCTTATCCGCAGAAGTGAGTCATCTAATATTCCCTAAATAAATCACAGAGTAATGTGTAGTAACTGGCTACCAGACATTTTATCACGTGTTAAATAAGGCAAGTAAGGAAGGTAAAATCTTTAAGTTCCATATCAGGAAGGAAGACAAAATCTGTGAGTTGGAGACCAGCCTGATTTTCAGGAATACACAGAGAAACCATTAAGTCTCAGCACCTCAGAATGAATGATATTTGGAAACAAAGCCTTTAAAAATAACTAGATTAAACTGATGCTGTTAAGATGACCCAAACTAACATGACTGGTATCCTATCATGAGAGCCTTAAGACAGAGTGAGACACAACAAGCAGACGGTGGTAACTACAAGACAAGGGGCAGGCCACAGAGGAAGCAAAGTCTGCCTACATCTCCATGGACACGTTTCCAGAACTGTAAGAAAATTCACTCCTGCTGCTAAGGTGGCATTTTGTCACAGCAGCCCTAGCAAGCTAATACAAAGCCCAAATGAAAACAGTGAGTAAAGTGTCTACACAACACCAAGCAAAAGTTCCTTCATATCCTTGATGAGAGAAAATTTCATGACACATTACAGCACATTAAAACTGTAATTCTAGACCTCTAACTTCTAAGAAACCAAACAAAACAGAAATATAATTCACAGAGTAGAAGATATTTGCAATCCACTTATCTGACAAAACTCATATATAACATAGAAAATATTAAAAACAAAAACCCTTATTCTATAGGACCTAAAGGGAAAAAGATTGTGAGTGCCTTTAAAAGGGTGGAAATGGGCCAGCAAGATGGCTCCGTAGTTGAGGAGCTTGGTGCAAAGACTGATAACCTGAGTTCAATCCCAGGAGCCCACATGGTAATGGGAGAAAACTGACTGCTCCACATCCTATGATCACCACACACATGCACGCATACACACAGACACACAGACACACACACAATAATAATAAAGTTGTTTTTAAGGTGAAAAAGCCCTAAAGGCAGTTTCACAATATCCAATGAGCAATGAGCAAATCAAGGGGCTCCCTCTCACTAGTCTGTCAGGGAAGACAAGCACCATACATCACCAGGGTGGCTGCAAAGAGAATGGCTAAGTGATGAAGGTGAGGAGCAGGGAGCTCTGCTCTGACACAGCTCTGATGACACGGAATCATCCATGGAGAACCAGTAAGTGCCACACTACGATGGATGTTATTTTCAAACATGTCTTACCTCCTTCTGAGCAAGGCTCACTTGTTCAAGTAGTTTACATTTCTCTTTCAGTAGCACAGAAAGTTCGAGAGCCAGTTTTTGCTCCCTTACTGAGAAAGCAAAAGAAAGATTATTATGACTAAGTGTGATCAGTTTTTAAATTATATACAACCACAAGATCTAAAACCAAAATGACTACTTACCAACATAAAGTCGGCTTTGAATCTGTAAGAAATTTTTAAACAAAATTACATTAAAACAAATATTCCTTCAAGTAAATCTATATCACGTGTACTCCAAGTTTTAAGATAACAACTTTGTTATGGCCTTACAGTGAATGACTTACCCAAAAACATTCTATTTCCATTGAAAACAATGCTACATAGTAACATCTCCCATTGAAGATTTACACTGTGTGTTATCATATTAAAGGCTCTGAAACAGCCTCATTCCAAAGTCACCTGCTAAGTTCCACTTGAATCCATGTTTCACACACATATATTGGGCACTAAAACAAGTATTTTAGGGAGCCCCTTTTATTAAGTCTCCTATTGTTAATAACCAATATAAAAGTCTGTGAAATATCAAGGGGCTCTAGACCTGGACTGACTCTAATAAAGTCATTAGACTTTTACTTCTTAAAGAAGCTCTCAATGAAGAAGGGATAAATCCACCCTGGAGAGCACTGGGGCTAGAGTAAATTGAGCAAGGGAAGCAAACAAGCAGACGTCTACCACCTAGAAAACAGAGACAGAAAATCAGAAGAAAAACTGGAAAACACGAGATACATTGGGATGTGTGTATACCGAAGACAAGGAAGTGCAACACGAGTAGAGGGTCTTCTTCTGGAGGGAACTAGAAAACCATGAAGAAATTAGGAATGAAGTCAGAGCACAAGGGCAAACATCTAAAAAAGAAGTCTCAGAAAGAAAAGGATATGGCATGACTCCCTCCTAAAATAAATAAATTAAATATTTAATAAGCAATACAGGATCCAGGACAAGCGTACCTCTACATAGCAGTCCATAGGAATGAAATCAGGGATTATTAACTGCATATACAGTAGGGTTTTTTACTCTATGTTGGGAGGTAGATATATCTGCTGGCATTTTAATACTGTTAAAAACAAACACAGAAAACCCCCCAAAAAAAGAAGAAGAAGAAGGGAAAGGAAGAAAGATGGGGTTTAGCACTACCCTATTGTATTCCTACAAAGAAAACCCACTAAATCTATATTCAGTTTCTAATGACTACATATCACCATGAGTAACCCAGAACACTATGACCTGACTTATTTCTCTGAAATAGCAAGTTTCTCCAATTAGTTGTTCAACATAAACACAGAATGAGGGTTAGAGAGATGACTCAGTGGTTAAGAGCACTTGCTACTCTTGTAGAGGACCAAGATTCAACTCCCATCATCCACGCTGTAACTCACAATCATCAGTAACTCCAGTACCTGGGAATCCAACAATGCCCTCTTCTCACCTCCTTATATACCACGAACTAATGATATACATACATACATACATATATACATACGTGCAAAACAGTCATACACATAAAAGAAAATAAATTTTAAAAGCAAAAACAATCCCAGAATGACCATTCTCTTACTATAAGTTATTACTTACTGATCTGTAGACTCTGCAAACTAATAAGACAACAGCAAGCAGTCCAAAGATAAGCAAACATGTCACCAATTCCAATGATGCAGGACTAGGATCAACGCTTACTGTATTATCTTCAGGCACTGCTGCCAAAACCTTCAAGACAAAGAAGTTAAGCCTATTAGCATGCATCTTCCACAGTACTGTTACAAAAACAGGTATAGGTGGCATGGTCAACTCTGTGAATATGAAATGGGCTGCCATAAAATACGAAGCAGAGAGCCTCCATCCACATTTTCTGGCAACTTACAATTGTTCTTACTGAGTGACTAAGTGTGGTGAAACACAATAGTTTTCAAAAAAGAGTTATGAGGAGATTCTCAGAGCTTAACTCCAGGAGGGTTGGAGGATAAGGGCAGAGTGTCAAGAAAGAATGTTGTGTAATATTTAAGATGCGTTGCATTATTCCTTGCTGTATTTGTTTACCTCTGTAAAGCTGTGTTACATTGCCTGCCTAAAACACCTGATTGGTCTAATAAAGAGTTGAACATGCCAATAGCTAGGCAGGAGAAAGGACAGGCAGAGCTGGCATGCAGAGAGAATAACTAGCAAGAGAAACCTAGAGAAGATCAAGTAAGAAAAGGAGAAGAGGAGGACAATGCCAGGGGGCAAAAATGGAATAAGAAGGAAAGAAAGATATACAGAATAAAGAAAGGAAAAAAGCCCAAAGAGAAAAGAGGTTAAGTAGAAACAGAATAATTTAAGTTAGAAAACCTGACTCGGAAAAACTGAGCAAAGGCCAGGCACTCATAAAGTAAGAATGAATCTCTGTGTATTTATTTGGAAGCTGAGTAGGAGACCCCAAAAAGAGGTTTTTTAAGACAATTACAACAGATCATCAATGACCTGGGTTGGCTGCTTCACCCTGACTTCAAGTTAATTATTTACCTGTATGCACTGGGTTTGACAAAACTTTTCCTTGCAGAGAAACAACACAGATCTGCAGTTAGTAGGGTGGGGAATGGGGAGTGGTCAGGAAAAACTGACAGAGGGATTTGAACCCTTTCCTCCTGTCTCTTATCTTGAGTTAAAATAATGCAGTTTGAGCCCAACAAAAAAAAAACTAGTCTTTGAAAAACAAGCCTAGGAATGATGCGTTTGAATCTTTCAGGCATCAACACACACCCACTAGAACCTCCAGAACAGTCTTCCCCTTAGGGATCTGACAAAATGAACAAACAAACAAAGCCTTTGATCATTACTCTCAATGAAATCTGTTTTTAGCTAGATCACCCACAAGGTCCCCTTCCAAGCTGCTATCTACACTTTATTAACTTCTACCAAATAAACATATGCAATATTATGTTCTTTTTCTTTTTAATTCTTATATCATTGTTTTCCTTTTTACATCTGTGTCTTCAGACAGGATCCAAGAGGAGGTCACAGCCTATACTCTGGGGTTGATGTAGAGTTCCTTTACCCTTAGTGTTAGCCAACCTTAAAATGGCACAGAAAAGGGTGAAAAATCTTTCATCCCAATCCTTTCTCTCCCTTCCTCACCTGGGTCTGAGACACAAGAGTGTGGCATCATATTGCTAGGCAATGATAAAAAGGACTTGCCTCCAGGATCACAAGGACAGAGATTCAGTAAAGTCAACTATTTCCATCATCTCTCCCCAAAGACCATTAATGTATAACCAGGCCCTCCACATTCCTTCTGAATGTTCTTCCACACCTCACAGAGTAAGGCCTGCAGGTGATTGTGTGTTTTACCTCTTCTTGAATCCATCCTACCTCAGTGGGTTATTCAAATCTTTATCACCAGGCAACAGATACTAATTAATCATCATCAAGTGGATTGACTACTCTGATATCAGATTAAAAAAAGACTTTTAGACAAAAACTGTTACTGGAAACAAACACATGATTGCAAATGCTACCTCAGTCTTTAAGACATAGGGTTTTACCCAACAAGAGAACCACAAGACGAAGTAAATCTGGTGAAGTAAAGGAAAAAGCAGACCATTCATCAACAGTAGTTAGGGATATCAAGATCTCACCTTCAGTGAGTCAACATGAAGAGCGAACACTGGAACAACACTACAAACCAGTTAGGTTAACATACTAACAAAACACTATACAACAACAGCAGAAAGACATTCATTCTCAGATGTACACACAAGATTCTTCAGAACAAATCCACACATCAAGCTAAAATAAACAATGTTTTTTAAATAATCAAATCACAGGGCCCAGCCCAGAGAAACGACTCAGCAGCTGAGCACATTTACTGCTCTTGCAGTGGATCAGAGTTCAGTTCCCAGAATCCATGTCAGACAGTCCTTAACCGCCTGCCCATAACTCCAACTCTGGAAGATCCCATGCCCTCTGCTGGCCTTCTCAGGCATGGAACCCACGTGTGCACAGACACACACATATACACACACATAATTTGAAATAGTAAAGATTCATTTAAAATTCAAATCCTGAGAAGCATGATCTCTGATTACAGTGAGTTAAAATTAGCCATCTTAAAACAGGAAGAGCTAAGCAGCTAAGAGCATTTGTCTTTCTTGAAAACAGATGACCCAGGTTTGGTTCCCAGCATTCACATGGTGGCTCACCACTATCCATGATTCCAGTTCCAGGGGAACATGGCACCCTCTTCTGGCATCTTCAGGCACTGCAAACTCGTGGAGCATGGACATACATGCAAGAGCAAAACACCCATCCACACAAAATAGATTTTTTTGTAATACAAATAAAAATACTTTCAGGTAAGTTGAAAAAACCACAGCACAAAACTTATAGAAGGTGTGTAACAGGGAAATTTATACTTGTAAAATCCTTTTTAAAAGTCATGGGGGCCTGTAGACATAGTTCAGTGACTAAGAACACTAGCGGGTATTGCAGAGGTCCTGAGTTCAATTCCCAGCACCCACCTGGTGGCACACAACCATGTATAATAAGAAAATGATGCGGATTTAGAATCTTAGCTCTGGCCCCAGCTTAGATTTCCTCTTTAAGAAGTTTCATCACCAAGAAACTCCAGGTTCCTGCAATCAGAAGAACCACGTTTAACTAACTGACTCCTGTGCAAAACCACCTAGGCTTCCAGATCCCCAGGCCGCCTTCCAAGCAACAAAACCAGCAGCCAAGCACAGGCCCCACCATGCCCGCGGTTTCGGTGCCCAGGACTCACCCCGTGCTGCAGCTCTGAACCCCGCTGGACACACACCGCAGAGGTACAGGGCTCTGCTATCGCTGAGCCCACAGGCAGAGGACACGCAGCCGGCCCGCTGGCCAGCAGCACACCCGGGCTTAATAAGCATGGTTCTGAGAACCGGAAGGCGCCAGTGGCCGGCTGGCACCACTGGGGTGGTGTAGCGAGAGCTATCATTGCACCTTTGGTCTCACAAGCGCAGTGGGGACTCCCTCCACAGCCCTATCTCTGCAGACAGGTCTGTGCTCACTCCTGACTCCAACACCTGAGTACAGAAGAGCTAGAGCACGAAAAGCTGAAATAGGGAGTGTGGGGCTGCAGCCCTACACTGGGGCACAGCCCCGGAGTGTAAGCGCCCAGCCCCCTGGTCCCAGCTCTAATCGTACTCTGTCCTTTGAAGCCCAAAACACACACTGTCTTTTGGAACAATGAAAACTGAAAACAGCCAGTGTGGGGCTGCAGCCCTACACTCCAAGGACTGGGGCACAGCCCTGGAGTGAAAGCGCCAGCCCCCTCGTCCCAGCTCCTATAGCACTGTACTATCCTCTCCAGACCATAAACTACACTGTGGTATCCAGGGGGCACCCTCCCGCCTACGCCGGCCTGCGTCATAATCCAGGTCAGGAAATAGTCTGGTGCGCGAGCCCAAGGGTCCGCACTTTGAACTCTGTACACCTAGAGAGCGTTAGCTTCAACTGTGTTCTCTGGTCAGAATTTAACCTCCCCTGTTCAAGCACACTTCGATCCTCCTAAGCCCAGCATTCTGGTTCACTCACCTGAGTTCACCAGGTGGGCACTAGCCAGGCATCCCAGGCTTAAATCCCTTAGCGCCCAGGTACCTAAATCAAGCCCTTTCGGACTTCTGCCCAGCACCAGGTTGCTCAGGGGCAAAAGAACTAAATGTAGCACCTTGTCCTCTAAATTTAGGGCTCTATTTTACAGCCATTGCAAGGAGTACTGGGAGATAAGGTTTAGAAGATTACCTGTCTCTAACGTTTGTCTTCTTTATCGACGCCATTATCTTACCCCAAACTTCAGTGAAGCAATTCAATTGGAGCAGCTGGCAAAGAGAAGCTAATAAACAAAATCATGACCTCTTATAAATTCCTGCAATATAGCCTTCTAGTGAAGGCATCACTTTCATGCCATAAGCACTCACACACACAGGAAAATCAACGGCTACAGCCAGTGACTACAGACCACACTGAGGACTGCTTTGTTGAAACTCAAATTGTTCTTTGCCACTTCACCCTAAGTAGTTAGGGAGATAGCAGAAGCTGCCCAAAAGTCCAGGTTTAACGTAGTGCACAACTTTCTCATGAGATTGTATTGGAATGTGAATAGTGAAGTCAGAAGTATGCTTAAAACCTTATCTTTAGCCCTACGGGATTCAGCTCACTAAGACTGTCAGCTTCCAAGTCCCATTCTCCACCCACGGGACAGGTGAGATAAGTGTGGCTCTGTCTCCTGCTTTCCGATGGCCTGAACAGAACCACCAGAGACCTGAGGACTGTGCACACCCGATCCCATCCTGACAGGATTCAGCCAGCCCTGAGACTGCCAGCTTCCAAGTCCCATTCTCCACCCACGGGACAAGCAAGGTGAAGGTCCAGCCTACCTAGAGTTTGCTAAGGTCCTGATACCAGGATGGCCTCCATCCCTGCCACCAGCTTATTGGAACTGCTCCCACCCACTGGAAAGGAACCGTGGTCAGACACCCACCAGGGGAGGAAGAGACTCTTCTGCACCCATAGGGAGAAATGATGGGAAGGAGAAAATACAAAAACAAACCCACCAACAGAAAAACGAATATGACACAGCTGGAAACTAGAGAATCTGCACAGGCAAGACCTGAACAGCCCATGGCAGAAGAAGCAGATGAGAAACATGTTAAAAACAACTTCATGAAAATGATAGAGGCCCTCAAAGAAGATATGAGAAAAATCACTTAAAGACATGGAAGAAAAAAACAAACCAAAAAGAAATAAAGAAAGAAATGGAGGGAAAAAACAATCCAAAAGATGAAAAAAATTTGCAAGTCTATCTTCCCTATGTTAATGTGTTCCCACTTCCAATCTGCAGCAGTTACCATCCCAAACACTAAAGCAGAAATGACACAAGTGAAATTTTAGAAAGAAGGAAAATCCAAGCATACCTGTAGCAAAAATAGTAAACTTAATATTCAGTGCAAAATCCTAAATCAAACTTCTGAACACATTACAGTCATGGAGACACTTACCTCTTCACCCAGACCTTCCTGGTCCATATCTTAGAAAGTTCATGCTAAAGTACCCTTACATGTAAATAAAGCTCTCTCTCTCTCTCTCTCTCTCTCTCTCTCTCTCTCTCTCTCTCTCTCTCTCTCTCTCTCTCTCTCTCTCTCTCTCTCTCTCTCTCTCTCTCTCTCTCTCTCTCTCTCTCTCTCTCTCTCTCTCTCTCTCTCTCTCTCTCTCTCTCTCTCTCTCTCTCTCTCTCTCTCTCTCTCTCTCTCTCTCTCTCTCTCTCTCTCTCTCTCTCTCTCTCTCTCTCTCTCTCTTTGGTTTTACAAGACAGGGTTTCTCTGTATTGTTTTAGAGGCTGTCTGTCCAGCTTGGCGTCGAACTCACAGAGATCTGCCTTCCTCTGCCTCCCAAGTGATGGGATTAAAGGTGTGCACCCCCTCCGCCTGACAATAAAGCTCTTAAATGCTTCATTTCCTTGAGAAAGATTCGAGATTTTAACACCTTCTGCCCTTCTGTGTCCACACAGAATGTGATTCTGTTTTGACACTGAGATACAGGGGTGCTATAGGTGGAGCTGTGACTACCAACACATAATCCAATTTCATGGACCACATAACTTAGTCAATATGTGTGTGCACACATACTTATGCCTGTATACAAGTATTTTCTTAAATATTATACATATCACATTAAAATTTACAGCTAGAAAGAAAAATCCCAAAATTACTAACTACTGAAACACTAAAGAGTTTATCCTATAGTCTATTCACATAAATTTCTACCAGATAAAAGATATTCAGAGACTGTTCTCCATAGGAGACATGAGATCAGCTTTCAAGGAAATGGACAGCAAATGTTATGCTACGAGAGAGCATCACTGACTCTAGACATTGATAACCAGAAAACCTAGTCCAAAGCCTGGAAACTGGTTTCCCTCATGAAGGCCCTGGATCAGATCTGTAAGGACTAGCTGTTGCCACTTAGGTCAGCACTAGTGACACACAGACGCACTCACCCTTTGGAAGGAAACGACACTGCTGTGACACATTGCTCTTCTCTGGATGA